TTTTTTTCCAATATAACGACAAACTCATGATTATACACAGATTGAACAAATAAAAGGTAAAGTTTTCTGGTTTTGGCAGTATTGTGTATATCTCAAGCAAAACAAAAAGAAAACAAATAAAGTAAGAGCCATAGAAATAAAAAAAAAGAGCACATGAATGTAAATGCTTTAAGATGCTGTTGATGGATTATTTGATGCAACAACAGTTGTTGTTGTTGTTGTTGCTGTTATTGTTTCAGTTGGTTGAGCAGCTATCGTTTCTGTAGTAATGGATTTTTGTCGTTCAGCATTTTGTGCTTGACGTGAATTATTCGACGAAAATATTCTGCTGAAAAAGTTACGAATCGACGTAATTGGACCAGTAGGTGATTTTGCTGCAGGTGCATTTGGTGATGTTTGCTCGGCAGTAACTGGAGTTGGACCATAAGCAGTTTCTGCCGATGTTTTAGTTACATAAACCTCTTGAGATACATTGTCTGTATTCAGAGTAGAAGTTGTAGTAGATTTTTTGTCAACAACTTCAACTCGAGGTGCAGAATGTGAAGCGGTTGATGTCGTTAACACTGATTTGGTGCTCTCGACGAGATTGCCTGTCGTTTCTATTAAATGATATTTGTAAATTTTTTCTTATAATCACTTATTTACCTTGTACTGTTGCTGAAGCAGTTTGTGCAGCTGAGACTGTTGCATCTTTTGCTTCAACTACTTTGGTAGCAACAACATCAGCAGCGGCACTAGCTTTTTCTGAAGCATCAGCGGCTAATTGTCCTGCAGTTGTTTTGAGATTAGATGCAGCTTCAGATGCGGCTTCTATTCCTTCTTTAACCTTTTCAGTTACAACTGCTGCACCAGTAGCAATTGCTGATTGTGTAGCATCAAGTATTTCACTAGCTTCAGCTAGAGCTTGAGATCCTTTTTCACTAGACCATGCTTTTATTTCTTCAATTTTTTGTTCACCTTAATTTAAAAAAAAGAATGAAAATTTCAAAGAAAATAAATTCATTTAAAAGTTTTTACCAATTTTTTCAGCTTCTGCTAATTTATGTTCAGCTGATTTTTCTATTTCTTGTGCTTTAACACTTGCATCATGTGCCATGTGTTGAACATTTTCAACGACTTCATTGGTTTTTTCTAAATATTATATAGAATTTAATAAGCTATATACATATTTGTCTAGACGAAAACACCAACCTTTAATTGTCTCTTTAGCAGCAGTTAATTTTTCTTCAGCTATTTTTTCACCTTTTATAATAGCATCTTTTGTATTAGCAGCAATTTCGTTAGTTTTTTCTATTAGTAAGAATTAGAGTTTTCATAGACAACATTCAATAAAATTGTTAATAAAGCTTATACCTTGAATATTATGTGCGATTTCTTTTGTTTTCTCTTGAGCATCATGAGCAGCAACAGTAGCATCATGTTTTAATTCAGTAGCTTTATCTTAACAAATACTTTAATATTTAAATAATCGATTCAAAAACTACTCAATCTACCTTGCATATTATGTGCTAATTCCGATGCTTTTTCTTCAGCATTATGAGCAGCAACAGTAGCATCATGTTTTAATTCAGTAGCTTTATCTTAATAAATACTCTAATATTTAAATAGTCCATTCAAAAAACTGCTCAATATACCTTGCATATTATGTGCGATTTCTTTTGTTTTCTCTTGAGCGTCATGAGCAGCAACAGTAGCGTCATGTTTTAATTCAGCAGCTTTTTCTTAAAAAATCTCTAGCATGAAAAAACTCTACGCAAAAATAGCACTTGACCTACCTTCGGCACTATGTGTTAAATCGGATGCTTTTTCTTCGACATCATGTTTCACTTCAGCAGCCTTATCTAAAACAAATTCAAATATAAATATGATTAAAAATTTAATTTAATTAAAAAAAATAAGTCAATTCACCTTGAATTTTATGAGCTGTATCTTCAGCCTTTTCTTCTGCTACATGTGCAGCAGCAACTGTATCTTCTTTTATTTCATGAGCTTTATCTAGAAAAATAATTTTCTATGAATATAATAAAGAAAACTCAATAAACAAACCATGAGCATGATCAGCGATTTTCTCCGTTTTTTCACTTGTTTCATGTAATTTATCATTAGTTGTAGCAACTTCTTCATGAATTTTACCTAAAATATTAATTAAATAATTTTCATTTTTTTTTATTAGAATATTAAAATCTAATTACCTTTGCTATGTTTTTTCTTTTTTTTATGTTCCACAGGTGCTGTGTCTAGACAAAAAATAAAGGATTAATATCAATCGAGATATAAATATTTTAACTAACGAGTTTCTTCTACAATAGGTGTTGTTGCCTCATTTTCAACTGTGACATGAACATCCTCAAGACGATGAGTTACAGATGAAAGAGGATCCTCTACATTATCAATAATTATTTGTTCTTTTTGATGATGACTTTCAGTGGCATCATCATTTGTCCAATTCTTTTCGCCTTCAATAACAACGGTATTACCTAGAGAATACGAAATTTAATAATTATTCATTTAAAACAAAAACTTGTTTTTTACCATGTTCATCAGGTTTGTAGGCATGTACTTCTGTTGTTTCTTCATTATTATCAGCCATTGTATATATTTATTTATTTATTCACTTAATAAAATAGAATCTAGAATGATAAATTCAAGGAATAATAATAATAAAATATCTTAGTCACAAGTGTATCCCTAACAACAACTTGTATTTCTTTTTCTATTCTTCAGGCTGGCACACGACACAGCTGTGCACATTATTTCATCTAATCTATCTGTTTATAACGATGTCGATTTGTTAGCCTGGAGAAATGATATAGATATAGATATATATGTGTATATATATAAGAGAATATCTAAAATACACAATGAACGCGAATCGAAGAATAGCAACAACAACAAAGAAGATAGAAAAGATAGAAAAGAATAATTACATGATCGATGATTTTGGCAGCTTGTTATCTTGTAATAGCAACAAAAACAAACAACAAGTAACAGTCAGCTGCTACTGACCTTCCGTTTTTCATATAGATGTATAATAGAAGTGTGAGAAAAGAAACGACGAATGAATATATATGTCGCTGTGTCTATTATAATAATTATCTGAAGTGAACTATGTACTAAAAAACAAAAAAAGTGACACAAAAAAAGAAAAACCTTATTACGAGGTAATGTAAATATAAGATGATCATTTGGCCTTGACTTCTCTTATAAAAATAGCCGTCATCTTTCTCCCGCGTGTGTCTCATTAAATGGAAGAATGATAAAGAGAAGAAAAAAAAAGGCCAAAGTTTATTTTGGCTTGCTAGTGGTCTCTATCCACTTTATCTATTTCTTTCCTCTTCTCGATAAATAGAAAGAAATGTAAAAAAAAAAGAAAGATACGGATGAAAAAAAAAAACGCACATATCGCAGCAGCTTTTTTTAATCTATAGAGAGAATGACTAAGACAAACTAATGATCTAGAGTGAATGTACGCTATCTATCGTTATATTTATAAAAGAATGTTATAGCATCAAGCAATATAATAATTGTAATAAACCTTTCTTTATTTTTTGTATTCCGCGTAATGATTTCTTTCTTTCTTTCTTTCTTACTTCAGAAACAACAAAACAAGAAATGACGACTAGCAGAATTGGTTATTCTACTGCTTTATATATATACATACATACATAAACAGAACGAGTGAAGCAATCTACTGCTATAATGGTATAATGACGAATACTTCTGTTGTATGGTGTATGCATGCATATATCCTTGATGACTCAGTTCGATTTTTGATGTCAAAAAAACGCTAAGCAGAAGAAAAAAGGACGATTTTGTGTGTTAGGCATGCATGACTCTATAATGTAGATATTTCTCTTTCCGTCTTGCTGACTCTTGCGTATGTTCACACTAAAAGAAAAAAGAAAAAAATGATGAAAGAAAAACTATACTACAAAGTTTAAAAAATATAAATTCTATTAATAGTTTTAGTGCTTATTTATGATGTAAAATAAATTTATATACTGAAGATATTTTCTTAATAAAGGAGAATATATAAAATAATATTATTTGTTATAATAAGAAACATTTTTTTCTACTTGTACTATAACCTTTACAGATTTGAAAAAATAACTTACTTTATCAGATGAGTGAATCATCATCAGACAAAGAGCAAACTCAACCAGCCAATGATACCAATTTGAATTATTGGCTTGATTCATGGCAAAATAATAAAATTGGATTCCATCGAAAGATTATTAGCAAGTTAATATTATATATTCATTTTCTTATATGCTATCTAATTCATTCTATTTCTATTACTTAAAAGACTATTTCAGTCATATTTAATTCCCAAATTGACTTCATCAGAACAAAAACAATTATGTGTCGTCTTTCCTTTATGTGGCAAAACATTGGATATGATAGCCGTACTAGATAATGGCCATCGTGTTATTGGTATTGAAGGTTCGCAAACTGCTATAAACGCATTTTTTAATGAAAATAATATTTCCTATGAAATTGAAAATGATGAAAGTAATCAATGTCAAATTTATAAGGTAAATTCAAATAATCAATTAACATATTTACTAATAACTTATTGGTAAAGGGTACTGATCGTCCTATAACTATATATTGTACTGATTTTTGTTCTTTTAACAAGTAATATTCTATTGATATTTCTTTGATTTTTACCATCGATAATATTTTTAGAACTCTACCGTCTATTGACTATATATGGGATCGTGGTGGACTTGTAGCTATTAATCCATTAGATCGTGAACCGTAAGAATCGACAAATTGTTCTTTTATTTACCATCTATTGTTATAGATATCGAGATTGTCTATTACGAATGATGACACGTGAGCAAACTCAATTATTTCTGGTAGCTATAAACTACAATGATCCAGATTATACTCGTTAGTATTTTATCAAAATATTTTCTAAGAATGATATATTACAAAATATTTTCTTGTAGCTCCACCTCATATTCTTAGTGATGATAATGTGAATAATTTATTTGGTATGTAAAAGAAAAAATTTATATCTAATCTAGTATTCTATTTATTAATTTATAGGAAATGAATGTTCAATTGAACTTCTCGAAGTTCATGATGAAACTGATGAGTTTAATGGTCGTGTTGGACGTCAGGCGATAAAACAAATTGAAGAACGTATCCATTTAGTCATACGAAAATCAAAATGAATTTTATCCTTTTTTTTGGACTATATTCTACATTTAAGTGGATAAATTCCATTGATTTAAAAGTTTGATTTTTTTTCAACATATATTAATCTCTGTAGTATTGCAGAGTGATTTATGATATTGATTACTATAGATATTTTAATAACTAGAAAAATAAAATTAGATTTTATTGATTTATTAGATAATGAGCTAATTTTGCTGGCTGACAATTGTAAAGGATAGTTAAGCATAGAATAGAGTAAATAAATTGATTATAAATTATGAAGATTCTGAAAATAGCTGTATAATTTTCATCGCGGGAGAAGCAACAGATTAGTATAGAAAAGTAGCATAATTAATTCAATTACTTGCTTATTCATCTGAACATCAAGAGAAACTGCTTGAATTAATACTTTAGAACTGAATATTTGATGAATCTCATTTTCTTTTTCTTATTTTATGTTGCTACTGATCACTTAATGCGTCATTTATATGTCTGGAAGAACGAAAGATTATAATATTTATGTTATTCAGTATCGTTTATCAAAGATGATTATGATATATTAAATAAATAAATGACAAAGTAAACACATTGTTTACAAGAAAAATATATTTGTGTATTTAAATCGATCAGGTCCCATCTATTGACAATAAACAGAACTCGAAAAAATTCATTTTCTTCAGAAATATCGAGTTTTCTAGGTACATGCACGCTAAGTTTAGCTGAAAAAATAGTTAAATATTTTCTAAAGAATAGTGTAATATTAACGCGTGAAATTATTCTCGATCTCATATATTCTACCTCTTTAATCTAATGGGAATTACGAGTTCGGTTAGATCTTATCAAAAATACTTCTATTCATCGTTCAACAATCAGTAAGCTATTTATAATATGTCATTTTATTACCAATATCATGTCAAACAGTAAAATTTTCATCAAAAGAAATCAGGAAAAGTGCGTGAAACATAATGGTTCACAATCTCGATTGCAACTGAAAAAGAATCTTACCATAGTAATGCTTGTACTGGTAGACTCATCGAGTAAAAACAAATTTCCATTTATTTTATGATTAATGTTTATCTATAAAAAAAATTATAATCGATGAAATTTTACGAAAATGAAGCTTTTTTAAATATACAGATGATGATTACATAACAGTTTATGACATTGAAAATATGAATTTAAAGTAATAGATTCATCATAAAATCTGTGTGAAATATGAGAAACATATTTGATCAGTCTAAAAGAAAAATTTTTCATATTGATTATTTAAAGTAGAAATATCCTTCATAATATTTTTCTTCAGTATAAAAAGTATTGAATATAATGCTTGTTTCATCAATATTTGCTAATTGATTAAGATCAGAATAACTACAATGACTTTATCAATGTTTTTCTAAAAGATTGATAATCTTAATTCTATAGGAGAAAACTTACTCAATTGATAATTACGTTTTCAAATGGTCAACTTAAATAACAGTGATTTTAACACGACAGAAGAAAAAAAACATATTAACAATTTTTTAAGATTAATTCTCTTATATATGTCGTGTATGTCAAAAAAAAAATATCTAGATATATGATTGTTTACATTCAATAATCTTTTGAAGTTATTGTATATACACATTTATGAGAAAATCTATTTATTTATTTAATGTCACATATATTTACTTATTGATATATTTCTATACTTTCTAAAACACACATTACTTTCAATATTTATATAGCTTTTCAGTATGGATTCGAAAATTTAAAGAAAAAATTCTTATAAAAACATTCATTTAACTATGTAAATCAACAATCTCCTAGAGATAATTACTATTCATCATTTTTAATGATAAGAAAATCTATTTTTGACAAACATAAATTGTGTATCTAACTCGATAAGTACACACATAAGTCAAAAAACAATTCTCAAGTTGTCTGTCTATTTTATTTCAATCGTGCAAACATTCTTGAATAGAACGATATATATAGAATAATCAACAAACATACTATAGCACACGCATAACTCATTTGTCATTCAGCTTATTGTCTTTCTCTCTCTCTCTCTCTCGCTTACTTATGCCCACTTCATTAGATTTTATCGTCAACATCCGGCGTTCATTTTCTCAATTGAGATAGACAAAAAAAACCACAATAAAAGTAAATATATGAAGAATAGTTGAATTTACCATAAACATACAGGTGCATAAGAATCACATGGAGAAACAATCATTCTCTACTTCTCGATCACAGCATGATATTTAACACCTAAATCTTGTATGAAAGTTAAATTTTTAATTGACCACTCACATATATGAGGTAATCAGATGATCAACTTGATACGTCTGCTATATATATACATACATGTATTATTCTCATAGTATGCGATAAGATATGAAATCCATTGACAATGATACAAGCTTGTTTTTCTAATGATTTAACGAATAGACAAATATATCACCTGCATAGATGAATGCCGCAAGGCATCTATAACAAATCGAATAACACTTTATTAATTATACATATAGGTCTTATATGAACAATAGGGAAAAGAAAAAGATCAATTTTCGAAAATGAATTACTTATCAAGTAATCGTGTAATTAAAATAATATCAAATAACAACAGACGACAACACTGATGTAATTGTTGATTAAAATATCAATAAAATTTTTACAAGAGTTTATTTTTTGTCTTCGAAATCGAAAAGATATTTTTCTATTATACAGACAATACAACATATCATTATCTATCTATTAACCTTTATTGACATATATCTAGAAAACAAAAGTTTTGAAATTTGAACCACACGTGCCACTTTCAATTTCCTTTTATAGACGTAGATGAAAAGAAAAAAGATCAAAACAATCCTGGCATATCAACACAGACAACAGAAAAAAATACTAAACAAAAAAGAAGACGACGGGAAATCAACTATTATTGCTACCATAGAAAATAAATGAAGTATATGTGCAATTGACTGCATTGAAATTGATATGACATTGAATATATGACACTTATCGATTGTTGATCAAATAGAATGGCGGTAATAATCTTGATCATAGTTGTATCTCATCCGGAGGAATTCAAGTGTCTCACTTTACAAAAGAAATACAAAGCAGCGGAATCCATGACATTTTTATGGATAGTTGTCTGCTTTCGTAGACAAATGAAAAGGTGTTGATGATCACTACTTGACCATATATATCCAATGACCTAATCAATATGAATAATCATTTCGTACTTGACACATTTGAACAAAATAAATATGTTCGCGTGTCAATCGAAAAAAAGTGATAAGTCAATCACTATAAGTATGTATGTACATAGTTGTTGATCGAATTAAAATTCCTTAAATCGCAAAAAAAAAGGTGATAAATCATATTTCCGTATTTAACAAAATCTTGACTTAATCAATGAAAACAAAATGTTTATTTCATTAATGAATAAAAATCAAACAAATGAAATAGATTAATGTATATTTAAATATTATATTGAAAAATAAATAGTAGAAGAACGCATAAGTAATGTATATATGTACATGGAAGGGCTATAGATAGCACCATATTAACCGGTCCACAGAATAAAACAAATTGAATTTGAAAATTACAAGAAAAAACGAAGTATACAAGATAAACAATGAACAAACGTAATGGTTCGTTGGTTAAATATGTGATCAATTGATAATGATGAACTATTGTTTATCTAAATAAAAAGTTCCATATGAATGAGAATTTATTGATAAATATTTATTTTTGAAGATCATTACCTGTAATTGTTCATCTACTTGATCACCAACTTTTCGTAATATAGTTGCAATATTAACGATCATTTCTCGTCGTTGTTGTTGTTCAATGACTATATCATTTATAAGATCAGGTAACTGTATTGACGGCATTATTTGCTTGTCACAACTAACTGTAAGAATTGTTGATGATGAATTTATTGTTGGAATAGGTAATATTAAATTCATTTGTTGTTTACGATGTATAGATAAAGATGTTAATCGACGTTTTTTTAAATTAGGTGATCCATGACAGCGTTTTATTGGTGATAGAGTAATTGTCGTTTTTGTTGTCATGCTGTTAAAAATATGAATATATTGATTGAAATGAAAATGAGAAACGAATGATCGTGGAAGAAGGAGAGAAACGAAAAGGGAAAGAGAGAGAGAGGGAGATGGAGAGAGCGAAGGAAAGAAAAGAACGAAGTAGAGAAAATTAATTGACAGGAAAGGAAAAAAAATGAAACGTTTATCTAATTGAAGAACTGACAAAAATCATTTGTATTAATTAGTATCGGATAAATTTTTTTAAAACAATCAGAATGTTCGTTACATCACATATCCGAAAAAATCAATACTTTCTTTCTATCAACGATTCTAAGACGAATATTTAAAATTTTTAAAATTTCGAGATTGAATATTCTCCATTTTGAGTTTCTAGTACAAAGAATCTCACTCATTTGATTGTATTGCGAGATATATTGTTATTGAATGCTTGTATTTGTATACGTATATATTTCTTTGATCGATAATATCAAAACGACACCTTTGGATTTATTTGTCAGTTATTGTGTAATTAGTCGTGTAAATTCAAGAGAAAAGAAAAGAGATTAGTGATTGAGGAGTGTTCTGGTCAAATGTCAAAAATGAGAAAAAAAAGTTTTCGGTTAACAAAGAGACACTTGACATTCATAGAAAAGAACAAAGAATGACTACAAACGAATATATATATATCATCAAAAAAACAACGTCTTAAAATCGCGACTACTTGAATGATTATTGTCATTTTGACAATACAAACAATTTTAATAAATACATTATAAAAAAAGAAAATTAATAATAAAAAGTCTTAAATGATTACTTCTCCTCCTTCTTCTCTCTTCCGCAATTTATATCCGAATGGAAAACAATTAGATTGTGAACAACATATTCTCTTCTTGAATAAGCGTGATCATCATTGTTCTCACACTTGAGTAGTAGTAGTATGTCTAGCCAAATTTTGTCGTTCTTTAGACATACACGCGATGCCTTCTGTCCACTACTCATCAATATACACACAATGGATGAACATTCGGATATAGGAAATAGTAGTAGTCATAGCATGCTACACCTGCATTCAATCAGACTTTATACAGTAAAAAAAAAAAGAAAACTACTGACTTCTCTCGCCTATTGTTTAAGTGAGACGTATACATATTATTCAAGCTCGTGTAGACAGATCATTTAGGTAAATTCACAGCTGGAATCTTTTTTGTTTTGAAACGGCAAGACTTCACTTCACGCTTATTAAGATTTTTACTCAATGCTTGCCTATCCACTTTTGCCAGTTTGTAAAGAAAAAAAATATTTTCTTATCACAATAATAAAGTGTGTGTTACACTACTTGGCTACGCCTTTTTCAATGGTATACACGTGGATCGACTCTTATTACGTATCTTGTCACTTTATGGAAAATCATGCTGAGGTGCGAAGAGGAAAAGGTGCCGTATGGTCAGTTTTTTTTGTAGAAAAAAAAATTAATTCTTTATCTGCTATTATTCTCTCACTATTGAATGTTTACATACAAAGATGATGAATGGAATTATGAGTCTCATAGATTAAAGTTAAATGTGATTGACCCTGGATTATAGAAGAATCTTTAGATGAAACAAGTGTTATTAGAATGATAGACAATATTGTTTTGAGTACATAACTTACTATATTGTTTTATTTTGTATGAATATATCGTTGTTTTTGTCTTTGATTTCTATGGATGATGAGAAAATTGAAACAATATATAAGAGATAAAAAACAAGCTAAGTATGTTGTAAGTTATTGTTAATAAATAAAGAATAATGTAAGTGTAATAATTGGAACAAAATAATTATGTTCTTATGTCAAGTTGCTTAGAATGATGTATATATATATATGAGTGTTCAGAGAAATGCCTTGATCGATCTCGACTGAATGCCTTGAACATGATCACTATACTATACGAGTCGAAGGTCAAATCTTATCGTTGTTCAATTGCATTTGATACTTTTCTTCGCCTATGTTAGTTATATCATTTGACATCGTATGGACAATTTACGCCAAAGGCATATTGAGTCCATGAGTATTATAAGCAATGATAAAATGCAACCTATTTTTGTTGATTAAATCTCATTTTATCAGCCATTATTTCGAGTTTCGATACAAAAGATAGAGTTTTCCTTCTTTTGTTAATTATAGATTGATTAGTGTCTGTTTCTTTGTAATAATACACTTGATACGATTAGTTTTGAAAACCTTAGAGACAAGTTCATAACAAAGTAATTTTTCCTTCAGATGTATACTTAGAATATCATTCTATTTTTAAGACAAAGTACAGCTGCAATGCAAAGACTAAATAAAGTTTATAACTATAGTTTATTGTTAAAAGATATAAGAAATTCTCGTAGCAATACTACAGTATTTTGTAAGTGAAAAAATATTATTCATAATGCCTTTGATTTGATCTTTAATTGATATAGATGCTGTATTTTTGTTGTATCAATTGAATATCTTTTTATAATTAAACATATTAAATTATTTGTTATCTTAACGAATGATAGATTTTTTTTTTCATATTAAAAAGAAAACATCTTATTATGTTTATAGGATAAGTCGCGCATAGTTCTTTACTTATACACATGATATAAAGAAAGAGAGAAAAAAAAAGTATAACATACACACAAAAATAGACAATGAGAACAAATGTCGATCTCGGGCACTAAGCTATATGTATATATATATATGTATATATAATGAAATGGATAACAGGAGCAAAACAGAGGATAATCGAAAATAAGAAAAGAGAGAATACAAGCGCATCTGTGTTGGTAGTTTTTTTTAAATCTTCATCATCAACATTGATTTTTGTTTTCTTTTTTGAACAGCCCAAACTCACAAACAAACTATATACAAAAGAGTAAACAAACAAAAAAAAACGATGAATTCCTTTTTTTTTGTTTGTACTATCGGACAACATGCCGGTAAAAGAGAAATTCATGACAACCAATTTGGACTACTGTTCCTTGTTCTAGTTGGGCAGGTCCATCCCATGCTGAATGATATGATGGTATTGTTAAACAAAAACATTTTTGTAAATTTTCATTCTCATTTTTCTTTTCATCATTTCCATCATCATCATCATCACCACTTTCATCATCCGATATATTTCCTAAACCATATCGAAAACCATTTACAATTGTACCATATTCACTATAATTTAATAATTCAAATAAATTTCGTTTACGATCATAATATAAGCATGCATGTTTTTCCGTAACATATTGACATGTTTGTTGATTATTAAAATTTTTTAAACATATATCATTTGATATTGATGAGCCAAACCAAATAACTTGTTTACGAATATAAATTACATGTTTAGAACGTATATGAATAAGTGCTGCATGAGATAAACGAAATTGTGAAAGATCAATTAAAAGTGAGAGAGAATTTGTTAATGAAGTCCTACGAAAAAAAAAAGTTTTTAAATATTAATTTTTTGTTTTTAAAAATTATTTACGGATTTTGTTTCGTTACTAACGAAGAATTTTCATCCTTCGAACATGAATCAGCTGCAGCAACAAGAACTGCAAGACCATTATTATTTGTCTTATTGGGTTCTATTGAATAATTTGGTGTGTTCAATGCATTTAATAAAATATCAATTGTATCAAGTACATTAGATTCTTGATTTTGTATTACTCTTGTTATTTTATCATTCTCAATTGATAATGAAGAATCAATTCTTGATGAATATTCATATGTTTGACCATCAATAGTTTCATTTAATATTGCTTGCAATACATCCCATACACATGGATCATATACAGATGAAGATTCATCAGGAGAAGTGGTGGTCTGAAATAGAATGACAAAAAAAAATGAATTTATTCTTATCTAAGGTCTTATTTTTCTACGATAGTAAAATAACAATAGCTGAGTTTAATTAGACATTGTCTACAAGAAGAACTCTTAAGTATATATTAGAGATTGGCATCGATTCCAAAAACATTTTCCGGAACTGTTCAAAGAAATATGTGTAACTACCTGGCTTTTAATGCTATTAAATTATTCGACAGTACATTTTGTAGAGCGTCGTTTTGTCTCTGAACTAAAATATCTAGAAATATAAAATAACCATTTGTGTTCGAAATTTTTGCATTACAGCATTCGATTTCGGCCGGTTCCAAGTTAAGAACCGAATGCTGTAATGCAAAAATTTCGAACACAAAAGGTTATTTTATATTTTTACATATATTAGTTTAGATACAAAACGACGCTCTACAAGATGTACTGTCGAATAAATTAATAGCATTAAAAGCCAGGTAGTTACACATATCTCTTTGAACGGTTCCGGAAAATGTTTTTAGAACCGATGCCGATCTCTAGTATATATGTAATTTATACTCAATGACGTTTTCAGTCGTTATTAAAAAACATCTGTTTCGAGTTGATAATATATAACTTCATTACTCAGATGCACATGCCCGACACATTAAGAAGAAAAAAGATATTTATAACTATATCTCCTAAATAATTTAATCACCGTGATTTATATTTAAAATATATATTTTATTTAATGAATTAAACAAGTTTACCTGTACACATTTTTCTTCTTCTTCTTCTTCTTCTTCTTTTATATTATCAATATCATTAAAACAGATCTGTTTAGATTTTGTATTTGCATTCATATAAAATTCTTCAATAACTTTTGGTATATGACTTATATCAATCCGTTCTAATCTATGATTATCGATTGATTTTGATAAAAGATGAGATTTTCTTTGTCTCATATGTTTAAAATCTTGTATAATTGAATTATGTTCTATTTGTGAATATTGTTGATAAATTTTAACTCGTTCACTTGTAGAAAATTTATTTTTTTTTTAATAAATAACGATCTAATATTGGTTCGATATGATTTGGACACATCCATTTATCTGTTGATGATGGTAGTGATGTCATTGGTGGTGTTAAACAATCTAAATGATATGTTAATGGACAATAATCACAATTTATTGATGGAATATGATTTGATGAAGATTTTCGACATATAAAACAATATTTTTGCCACGATAAAGAATCTTTTTGAATATTATTCTCTCGATTATAATTTGGATCATCAAATGGTAATGATGGACCACGAAATTCTTCTGGTCGACATGAAAGTAATAAACGACGTAAGGCTTCAATTTGTGTAGTAGGAATTTTTACAGCATGGACATTATTATTATTAGAATTTATTGTTGATGGTGGAGAAAAGGATGAATCAATTCGTTTTCGTTTGAGATTCGTTGATGATGTTGATAATTTGCTTTTAGTTGTACTATTTGTTGCACGAAATTTAATCTCGCCAGATGGTTGTACTAATGATCGACCATTAGATGCTAAAAATAAAAAAGAAATAATTTTCAGAAAATTTTTTATCAATGAGTATTTAAATAAAAAGCTATGATCATCTAAAAATAAAGTCACTACTGATATCAGTCATGAGAAGTCTAGGCTTATTTCCGGTAGAACTTGTTGACTTCGAAAGTTTTTTCACAAGCATGTTCGACATATGTTCTAGATGATTATTTTATAATAACTAAGATATGATAAGTTTCGATTATTAAATTAATTTTGTTACCTGTTGGTAATTTAATCTGTTCTAATGTTGATTGTCGTTGTGAATGTTTTTTAAATCCATTTATATTTAATTTATTTTTTGGATCAAATGTAAATGATTTTTGTGTTTGTAAAATAGTTTTGGTTTGTTTATCTTTATTTATTGATTCTTCTTCTGCTGTTTTAGCTCGACAATTTTCACAAAAATAAGAACCTTTTGGAACATCTTCTCTTGATAATGGTGGATTAGCACATAGAAGATGAAATGTTGCCGGGCATGTATCACATGAAATCATTTCACCATATAATTCTCCACATGAATCACAATGATCATTATTAATAACATTAGGATTGTGATTGTGATGATGGTGATGATGATGATGGTGGTGGTGGTGATGTTGTTGTTGGTCTGCTTTAGTTGTTGCTGATGGAATGTTTTCTGTTTGAGATGAAGATTTTTTTTGATGATTATGTATAATAGGATGTGTAAAAAGATGTCGAGAATGAGATGATTGTTTAACTTTTTTTGTTGAATTATTATTTGAATCATTATGATTAAGACGTTTTCTATTTGTTTCATTTGTCGTTGTTGATGTTGTTTTTGGTTTTTTATTTTTATGCCTTTTCATTATTCGTGTCTCATTAACCGTTGATGAAACTATTTTTGCTTTTAAACGTTTATTTGTTGCTGTTGTACTATTACTACTGGTACTACTTGTACTACTTGTACTTGGCAAACGTTTCGAAGTTTCTAGAAAATATAAAAGAAATATTTGTATATATAAATAGAATTAATTATATAAATGATCAATTTAACTCTAAAGTTTCTTATTAGTAATAGTCTACAAATTTTTTAAATATTGAAAGACATCCGTTGATAATTATATCGTTAAGTTTATCATGAGAAATCTATTTCTGGTTATATACTACTGTCACTATTAGAATTCATCGAAGTTTTGTTCTGGGAAAAATTGTCAAGATAATTCTGATCGTTTAAAGTAAAAATTTTTCTTAACAAACCATTTTGTCCATTATACGCCATCGATGCTGACGGCGGGTGAAAACCATTTATATTACTCATCGTTCATTATTCATATTGAGACACGATGGAGATCGATAGGTTATCTAAAAAATATCAACAACAAAAAAAACAATATTTTTGTTTTTATATCAGTCTTAAATAAAACAACAAGAGAAATGAAAATTTATTTCTTATAAATACATCTATATATATAATTATTCATTAAATAACATTTTCCATTGTCGATCATTAATAAAAATTCCTAATGGGAAAAAAAAGAAAAATAAATTAATAGAAAAATTAGTTTGTTACAAATACATACCATTTAATATATTTTATTTCGACAAAAAAAAATATAAGTTATTTATTTCATATATATAAATAACGAAAACAACATATTATTGAATCTTGAATAACATAAGATTGTTATCTTTTTATTTTTCACTAAAGATTTTATTTACATGAACAAGTAGATTATATCGTAATTGATTTATTCATTGTAAATTTCCAGTTAATCACCATAGAAATATTATGTTGGAGAAAAAAATAAATTTCTATTTGCATACAATCATCCATAAAAATCTAAAGAAAATAAAAATATAGAAGTTTTTCTTTTGACAATCAAGGCTACTATTACCATTTATATCATCTGACTGATAATGATCAATTTATTTAATGTCTAATATATAGTTAATAAATAAAAACAGGCATTTTTCAATAAAAAAACTGATTTCTTATATAAAAAAAGTCAGTCGTAATAACATAGAAATGGAAATTTAACAACTGATTTGTCTTCTATCGGAAAGAGAGAGACAAGACAAAAAGAGAAATATTATTTTATTGGTTTAAATAGGGGTCACTCGAAATCAATCGAAAAAAAAAACTATAGAAGAGAAAGAAAAGATTTTTTTCGAAATAAGAAAAATAATTTTTTTAAGAAAATTTAATTTAAAAAAATTTCATTATAGAATATTTAATTAGTATTAAATAGAAAATTATCTCGATGAAAACAACATTTTATACAATGACGAATTATTTTGTTTGGTGGAAAATGGATCAATCAAATAAATAGAAGAATGGATGTTGTTTTCTTATTTTTGTTTACTTTTTTTTTCTAAATGATGATGAGAAAAATAGATGTTCGTTAGAATAAGAAAGATTTGAGGACGTTTCTTTTTTTCAAAATCATATGATTTAAGAATTAGTCTATTTCATTTATTTTCTTAAATGAATTTAGTATTTGTATAGATATAACTTCGTTTGAAATATGATCATACATATATATGTATATATTCTTTTAGATCTCGTTTTCGATCAACTAAAATAAATCAAATATGCCAAAAACGGCCCAAGCACGCACAAAAGCTGTAAGTTCATTATAGAAAAAAGAAATTCATTTGTTTCTATTATTCTAAACTTTTATGTATTCCTTTTAGTTGCAAACAGTTGGCTTTCGTTCTCAATCCATATTAATTGATGGTCGTGGCCATTTAATTGGTCGTTTGGCAGCAACAATAGCTAAAACAATTCTACAAGGTCACAATGTTGTCGTTGTACGATGTGAAGGTCTTAATATAAGTGGATCATTTTATCGTAATAAACTTAAATATTTGGAATTTCTTCGTAAACGTTGTAACATCAATCCATCACGTGGTCCATTTCATTTCCGTGCACCATCAAAAATCTTTACACGTATTGTACGTGGTATGGTACCACATAAAACTGAACGTGGTAAAGCAGCATTACATCGTTTACGTGCATTTGAAGGCATTCCAACACCATATGATAAAAAGAAACGTATGATTGTTCCAAGTGCTTTACGTACATTACGATTAAAACCACGTCGTCGTTTTACTGAACTCGGTCGTTTATCAACTGAAGTTGGCTGGCAATATCAAACCGTTGTTGCCACATTAGAAAAGAAACGAAAAATTAAGGCAAAACATTATTATTTACGAGAACGTGAATTAAAGAAACTTAAAACAAGTGCCAAACAAAAATTAGCTTCAAAACCACAAGTTGCTAAACATCTTGCCGTACTTCAAAAATATGGTTATCAGCTCTAAAAAAAAAAAGAAAAAGATATTTTTTTTTTGCATTGTTGTTTTACTTTTATTTGTCATACACAAAAAAAAACAACATTTCGATATAGATGAAAAGAATAAAAAATAAAATAAATATCGATAACGTATGACAATTGAATAATATCAAGTTTGTCTGCATTAATTTTTCATCTCTCCTTCTCTGCTTGTTATAGATCACTTCTAAACTAATTTAACTAATACCCGGTGATGGAAATTTCTCCCTTCCTTGCATCAGACATTAACGCATACCACTAATCAAGTCTACTGTATGTATTATATTGTCAATGTCTTGGTGATTGTGTTTTTCGTTAATTTATTGATGCATGATTGATTGAATGTAAATTGCATGTAAAAATTCTCTTAGAAGATAAATATTGTTATGTTTGTATCCTACCCATATTTAGCTAGAAGAAGAAGAAGAAAAAATAGGAGTAGAAATCTATGCTGATTAGACTAGCTTTGATGATTGCTCGAATGCATCTGATCAACACAGACATAAGAGTAATCATTGATTCTATCATATGTGAAATCGCCCGAATGCATTTTTAAGTAGTAGAGTTAAATGTGTAAAGAGATGACCATTGCTTTTTTTTCTGAA